CAACCGGCAGCCAGACTTCATTGCGGCGCTGCGGGCGGTGAGATGGGGCTCCCCTGGGTGGGGGGGAGTGTGAGGAGGGAGGGGGGGAAGAAGGCGAGGGTGGGGGGAGAGCTGGTGCGTATGTATGTATGTATGTATGTATGTATGTATGCATGTGTGTAGGGGGGTTACAGAGCGGGGTTGTGGATTGTAGGGGTGTGGCGTGGGGGGGGGGGATATGGACAGAGTGGAAGCGGGTTCCCGTACATGGGGGCTTGGGGTCCCACGTCAGGGTTTTCGATATTTAACCATTAAAGCACACACACACAATACATACAAACGTACATACATACATACATACATACGTACGGATAGAATCCCTTTTAATAATTTTTGAAGCAGTTCAGTCGTCAGTCCTCCTTCGAGACGCGAGACTAACTCGGCCTGCTGGACGCGAGAGGGAACCACTGGGTTCTCACTGCCCAATCGGGGGGTGGTACTCCAGTTGCAGCAGCAGCAGCAGCAGCAGCAGCAGTTTCCAAAGCTTTGGGCGTTAATCGACGGGGGTGGGGTGGGGTGGTTGTCCTTTGTTCCCGCCAACAAAGCGGAACCCCAACCCCCTCCTCCCTCCTTTTTTGGACACCTTCCGGCAGTCCATTTCTGAGTTCCTTGCATATGACCCCTCCCTTCCCCTTCCCCTTCCCTGGCAGCAGCTTCACTCGTTTGTGGTTCGTCTGTCCCCCCTCCCTCCTTTTCCCCTCCTATCCTCGGCAGTCTCGCGCCTTCGCCGCCCGAGCCTCCCGGGAGCTTAAACTGGACGTGTACGCCTACTCGCTGTTCCACGTGTTTTTTGAACAGTACCTTTCCGTACTGTACGACACAGCGGCGATGGTTGGTCTGCCGCTCCTGGCGGTGGTGGGCACTGCCTGGGCTCTGAGCGGCAGCGCCTGGTGTGCTGGTTTGTTGGCGGCCGTGTTGTGCAGCGTGCTGGTGCACCTGGGGGGGGCTATGTGGCTGGCGGGGATACAGGTGCGGACCAGCAGGCTTGGAGGCGGTTAGGGGGAGGGGGGAGGGAGGGAGTGGGGAGAGGGGGAGAGAGGGGGGAAAGGCGAACCATGAAGAACCATGAAAAGCTGCTGCCAAGGAAAGAGTGTACAAGAAGCAGAGAACTGACCAGTAGGCGTTCTTGAAGGCGGAGACCTCGGGCTGATGTAATGGTGATGATGACCGCGGAAACCTATAAAGAAGTAAATGTAGGTGTAGAGGGGGCGAAAAAGTAGTAAAGAACTGCTGACGTGAAGCTGGAATATAATATGCCGCCGGCCTAGGGGGAGGGGGGAGGGGACATGCTGTGATTCGCCCGTGTATTAGAAGTGGGTAGGGGGCGCTGGGGCAGCGTTACACCACCTCCCCAACCTCCCCCGACCACGTCGGGGGGGGACCAGGGACCAACCAACCAACCCACTCAGTGGTGTGCGTGTGTGTGTGAACTTCCGCGAGTTGCGAGTCCCTTCCCCCCCGCTGGGGGGACAACGCCTTAGGATTTCAAATCGTTGTCGCCCTCTCATGCTATCATTTATCTTCCCGCCACAATAATACCAACACCCCGCCTCCTCTCCCCCCTCCTCCCCCAGGTCAACGCCGTGTCGCTGGTCAACCTGGCCATGGCCCTGGGCATCGCGGTGGAGTTCTGCGCCCACATCATGCACGCCTACATGGCGGCTCCCCCACCGCCTCCTCCTCCCCCTCCCCCACCGCCTCCTCCTCCCCCTCCCCCACCGCCACCACCGCTACCACCCTCCGCCTCCCCTCCGCCTCCCCCACCCCACCCTACCACCACAATTACTCAGAGTCCGCCATCTTCGCCACCACTACCACGACCACCGCAATCATCTTCACCTTGCTCCTCTTCTGTACTTTCATCGCCACCGTGTTCTCGCGCCTGGCGCTCCCGCGCTGCGCTCCTAAATGTGGGTTCCGCGGTGCTTAGCGGGGTGACCCTAACCAAGCTGGTGGGGGTGGCTGTGCTGTCGTTCGCCCGGACGCAGATTTTCGAGGTGTACTACTTCCGGCTGTATCTGGCGCTGGTGGTGGTGGGGGCGGCGCACGGGCTGGTGCTACTGCCGGTGCTGCTGGCCCTGGTGGGGCCGCCCGCGTGGCCGGGGCGGGGGGTGGGAGGTGGGCGGGAGGTAAGAGGGGGGGAAATGGTTGTGGGTGGCTGAGAGGTGTAAGGGGGGTTCTAGGGGTCAGGGGCGGGGGGGGGGGAAGTCGAGGGCGGGTGGAGAAGTTGTATAGGCCGGCACAGCGGCGGCAGCGGCGGCGGGGCAGGAGGGCGGTCCTCGTGACGTTGGGGCTGGGGGAGAAGGATGCGAAACAGCGGCTGGGGGGTTGAGTGTGTGTGTGTGTGTGTTTGGGGGAGAGGTAAATGCATGATGACCAGTCGTGAGGGTTGACGAAGGCAAGAGGTGGAAGCAGGTTGCGAGCTGTTTGCGGTGTTTGAGCTCGAGGACAGCGGGAGGGGGGGAAATACGCGGGGCCCTGTTGTTCGCGGTTGGGGGCAGTTGGGGTGGTCGTTGTTGTCTGATGTTTGCTTTTGTGGTGGCTGGGACTGGCTGCCTGCCAGGCTGTCAAGAGTACTGGTGTATGGCGGGGGATTGAGGTTTGACAGCTGTAGCTTGGCGGGTCGGGGGGGGGGCGTCGGTGTTGGCAACAACGGTGAGATAGAGGGGGAGGGGACTTGGGTCGCACGAGGCTGCCTTTTAGGAGGTGAGCTAATCGGATGGCACATAGCACACTGGCTATTACGGCTGGTGGCGGCTTTGGAGTCCTGCATCAATGATGTGTGTGGATATGGGTTACATGCTCACCATCCTACCTCGCACTTCACGCAAAGCAAGAGTTGCGGTGACGCTAAATTGTCGTGACAGACCACATACGTTCCAGCATCTTCGCCAGATGTTCAGGCGTTAACGCCTGAACTTGAACGTTCAGGTTCTCACTTCATAGTGTCCTTCAAATGCATAAAGCGTGGGAAATCCATATCAGATCTCATTTCGCAGTACACCGGACAGTCCAGCAAGACGTGCTTCTCTCTTCAATATGGCTATCAGTGCCGCAGCAGGGGCATACCCGCTCCTCCCTAGGTATATAACGCCGTCCCTTTCGCGCTCTGTTCACCGCCAATGCCCAACAGCAAAACCTGACCTACATAAGCTTACAATTGGCTGAACGCAGGATAAATGTTGTGATATGCGGGAGCACCTCCTTCCTGCCCGCTTGCTTAGCCGCCCAACCCATCCAATGCTTCGCCATGTGGATTCCTGGTTGCTTGCCAACTGACGGGTACACGTCTGGCTAGACATCTAGACGCGTATGCTTCCAACCGCTCATCAACCGATCCTTGAGCTCCGATACCACACCATCCGGCAATGGCCTATTCATTAGCCATTCCACTCGTTCGTCTGCCTCACGTAGCCCTTGCGGGGCCTCTTTCCATACATTGTGCGCAGAAAACTCAGAAAACGAAGGATTAGTGAACCCCCCGGGGTTCGAGAGGGACTCTACGACCTTCTGTCGCAAAACTTGGTGTGCCACAGACCCACGCTGTGGTTTTGGTTTAAAAACCCCACAATCTGCTTGGAAACGTGGTAGTGTAGAGGTCGCCGTGACAATTCAGCGAACAGGAGGCGGTGCCGGAATGAGCAAGGGCGAAGGAGCCCTAGCCGGGAGGACGAGTTCCCCCAACTAACCCCGCACCCGCACCTACACCTACACCAAGTCGAGATGAAGGCCAAACCGTAGTGTGTCCCGACACGGTGTGTCGGGATCAACACGTATGGGGATTTATAACTAAAAGAGGAAATGAAAAGTACGGCAAGCATGGCAGGGAACAGGATGGGTAATGTCAGGATAACCTCAAGGGCTGTTTTTCGTGCAGCCGTTGCCTCAATGAGGAAAAAGTGAATTTGGGAGTTGGCGACCAGTCACAGCAGCGGCGGGTGTAGCCGTCAGTGTTCGGGAACTGATGGTCATTGCAACGCAATATCTTAGGAGGGTGCTACGAACCTCCAGAAAGAGGCTTCCGTAAGGCTTCTTTTAGGTCGCTATGCGTTGCAGTATGATGGAACTCAGTACATACATAAGAGGATGGGCGCCCCTAGGGGAACCGTCCCGCCGGACAACAGCTTATTGCTAACGAAGATAATCCTCGGATCTATGAGAGGAAATACCCCATGCTGTGCCTGCCAAACGCATTGGGCTGGCACATGCTCATAGAAAAATGTGGACTTATATTGCCAGGACTGCTCAGTTCCATATGAGCCAGACAGATTATGCGACATAACAAATAAATTAAGCGCATCTGTTCCCTCTGCCGCTCTCCAGCCATTCCGGTTCCGTGCGGACGGCTCTAGTCATGATACCTTACATCGTCAGAATGACTCAGACAACGTTTATTATCAAGACAAACCGCAACTTTAAAGGAAACGTGCACTTTGAGAGTCCACTCATAAGGCGTCCATAAGATGACGAGGACTTTGGTTTCCTAGAGAAGCGGCAGAAATGAACAGCTGCGGCAGAGAATCGGCTGTAGAGACTAAGTAAGATAAGCACATGTGCGTAAAACTGATGAACATATTTGTTCCTACTGAGCGTCCCTCAGCGGCATCAGGCGGAATGCCGTACGGCATAAGACCCTCGATCAGGACCCCGTACTTTATCGGCCCAATATGGACAGTGTTCCTGACAGCGGTAGCAGTGTCACTTGCATCCGTTAGCAGTTTCACTGTAAAGATGGCGACCGCTCTGTGCAACAAGGCCTTCGCTGCCGCCCCTGTGGCTCGCCCGGCCTCGCGCCGCTCGGCTGTCGTCGTCCGCGCTCAGGCTCAGGATGTGGTACGTTGCCCTTCCATATGACAGTAGGACCTCATAACTAGAGGCTTAGATAATTCTTCCATAAGTATAAGATCGTGTGCAGTTCGTGGTTTGGACCTTTGCCATGGAACAGTATAGTTGAACGCCGCGCGCTTCTATTGTCCACTGCAGAGCCGCCGCGCTGCTCTGGGCGCCCTGGCTGGCGTTGCTGCTCTGGTCTCCAACGCCAACCCGTCGAGCGCCGCTTACGGTGACTCGGCTAACGTGTTCGGCAAGGTGACCAACAAGTCGGGCTTTGTGTCCTACGCTGGCGATGGCTTTGCTCTGCTCCTGCCCAGCAAGTGGAACCCCAGCAAGGAGACTGACTTTCCGGGCGTGACCCTGCGGTGAGGCTGCTAGTTGTGCGGACTTGCAACCTTGCTCATATTTTGATCTCATCATCTCGGCAGCCGGAATTGCATATTTTTTTGTCAGATTGTTTATTCGGTCCATCTTTACAAAGATCTTGCAAGCGCTTGGATGTGCAGGCTGTTCCGATCCTGAGTCTTGGTTCATTGCGAGAACCTTTACACATCCCTGACATAAATGTTGTTGTTTTGCAGCTACGAGGACAACTTCGATGCCGTGAACAACCTGGTCGTTATCGCTCAGCCCACGGATAAGAAGTCGATTGAGGACCTGGGCAGCCCGGACAAGTTCCTGGAGTCGGTCAGCTACCTGCTGGGCAGGCAGGCGTACTCCGGTAAGTTGGGTCGAAAGAAAATGTATGTCTCGCTAGGCATGGACCCTGTTATTCATCTTGGTTAGCGCCTATTTGCAGGCGAGACCGTCTCGGAGGGTGGCTTCGCCCCCAACCGTGTGTCCGCTGCTTCTCTGCTGGACGTGTTCACCACCTCCGACAAGAAGGGCAAGACGTACTACAAGTACGAGCTGCTGGTCCGCACTGGTGGGTACCCGGGCCACTTCCCAGGCATCACTTTACTGATGTAGCCTTCGCCAAGTCGTTAACTCCCGCTAGCTGACAAACATGTCCCTGCCGGCGTTACTATCAATCCCGCAGCCGATGGTGATGAGGGTGGCCGCCACCAGCTGATTGCCGCCACTGTTGGCAGCGACAGCAAGCTGTACATCCTGAAGGTTCAGGTCGGTGACAAGCGCTGGTTCAAGGGCGTCAAGAAGGAGGCCATGGGCGTCTTCGACTCTTTCACCGTCGTGTAAAGCAGTCCAGCCTTTTTTCAGTCTGAAGTGGCATCGGGAATGTTCCGCTTTGGTTGACTAGAGTACAACTTCTTTGAAAGGATGGCGGGTGCGCTGACGCGCGCTTCTTCCCATCTCAATTGACTCTACCAATTACAGTGGAATGGTGGAACCGGGTGGGAGTCGGGGATGCGGGCTTCTGTCGGAGATTTGAGGTGTCGCATTCTGGTTGAGAAGAGAATTGCTGTTAGGGCGTAGTGCTATTCCTGCCGAGTGGGTGCTGCCTAGGCATAGTGCACAGATACACTTGGGCGAGGAGTCAGGTGCCGTGTATGAACAGTTTTGCGATGGCTTTATCACTCTCGGCAACTATGCTCCGAAAGGTGCATGTAACATATGGAGAATTCCACGATCGTCGTCCCCTCACTGACCCTGTCTCATCCATTTGTCGCAGAGCATCGGGGACACAACTTGCACAGCATTGGGGTTTGGTTTATGCGTTCGGCACGCGGTCTGGTTGATTACTTAGCTACCTTTAATATGTCAATGTCTCGGACATTTTTGCTTTAAAAGGCCTGCAAAAAATGTCGTTTGCCTTCATAGTCAACATTGAGCCGTAGGAACCGAAATAGTCCAATTCGCCTGTATCCCTCCTCTGCTTGTGAGCTGGGTTTGCCCTATTCACGTCACCATCAATGTTGTAGCGTACGAGATGCAAAGAACATAGAAAGAATAAGATATACGTAGCTTTGTGGGTCTGCATCACATAATAGTCAAACAATCTCAACATAGTGTACGGAATACAGAAATATACGAGTAACACTTTCCTCACATCCTGCTACATGACAAAACCTCGTTTTACTTACAACTTCATCAAGAATCCAAACTTGTGCAGCACATGCTCCCGCACTGCCTGAACAACCCGTTGAGTCTCAATCCAGAGCAGCTGATGGGCGCTGCGGCACCGAACATTCCCCCGTGATGTTGGCGTACCCACCCACCGAAGCACCTGCCGCAGCATTGCCACTACCCCCTCCAGGTCATGATCCTGGCTGATAAGCCACAGGGCCAGCGCCATGAATGTCACCTGTATCCGCCGGTTCTCCCCTTCACCACCCGCACCGTCCTCTTCTGCCACAGCCGCCAGCGCCACCTCCCCGGTTGCTCCCTCACTCGGGCCCCTCCGCGTCCGCACTCCTGCAGCTGCACGAATTTGACCGCTGTCTCCGCGGCCGCCGTCAGCAGCCGCGGCTCCATCCCGTCCCTCCACCGCCACCTCCTCCACTCCGTTGCTATTGCCGCCCACGGCAACCACACCGGCACGCGCACAGGCGCTGCGAATGGCTGCTAGGAATGCTCGCCGCACGTCGGCGTCTGAGTAGCCTCCTTCAATTCGTACTGCCGTAGCCGCCGCTGCAGCCGCGGCCGCCATAGTTGCCGGACCAGACACCGTGCCCTGAGAGCCAAAGAACATGTGCGCCGCCGCCGCCGCGAGCCGCTGCTGCGGATCTGCGGACGCAGGCAACGCGGCCACTGCCATCACCTCCTCGATGTCAGGACTGCCCGCCCGAGTCGCTGCCAGACCGGCCCATTTAGCAACCCCATCGCCGCCACTGGGTTCGGAAAGTCCCAACCGAAACTGCGGCGGCGGCGGCGGCGGCGGCATACCTGAGCCTCCTTCTCCTCCTGCTGCTGGCTTCGGGGCCGCAACCCGCGAGCCACCTTCACGCCGCAACACTGCCGCATGGGCTTCCCCGACTGCCACCACCGCGGGCACGGACGCCCCATTGCCGCTGTTCACAGGTCCAGAACCGGTAACATGGACATCAGGGGGGCCTCGCGCAGGGGGAGGGGGCAAGTGCGCCGAAGGCGGCAACACCGGGCCCTTCACTGCTGCCCCATTCCCCACTTGACGCCGCCGCAGCTCCGCGGTGATCTCGCTCCGAAGCTCAACGGGCAGCTCGTTAAGCACGGCAAAATCCACGTCGGCCATACTCGTCGGCATCACCCCCGGTGCGGCTGCCGCCGCAACTAAAGGCCTGGCGGCGCCGCCATCCACACCTTCCGCTACTCCGGTCTCAGCGCCCGTGCTGCGCCGCTGCAAGGAGTCCATGTCCATAGCTTGCACGTGGCGGTCACGGCCAACAGCTCCACGGTCCGCAGCGCTCTGAGGCGCAACATCGTCACCGCCACCGGCACTCTGCCCCGCACCCGTCGCCACATGCCGCACGCCCTGCGGCGGCTGAGCGGCGACACCGCCGCCGCTGTTACTGCCGTGTGCGCGCCGTGTGCCGCGCGCCGGGCCCGGAGCTGGCCCAGGCGCGGTATGGCGGGTTGCTGGCGCCGCAAGGAGACCTGCTGCACGTGGAGGATGTGTGTGGGCATTGCGGTGGTTCGTGAGTAGACGATGAGCAAATCAATCCAGGCAAGCGAGTTGCTCAAAATGGACTACGTAATTAGTAATCGTTGCTCAGCCTTTCGCAAGCTCCAGGCATGCGGGTAGGTAGGTATGCATCGTTTCCCAATCCTCGACCGTCTGCTGCTGCTGCATTTCTATATGTGGTGGGAACGTGGGCGTCGAGGTAAACGGATGAAACGAGGCGGCAAGATTCCCTATATCTGTTGTGGTTCCGCTGCGCTGTGTCTGGCGCTGCGCCTGGCACCCAAAGCCCTTCCTTCGTGCGAAGGCGTGTTCCCACAAAGCTGCGGAACAGAGCGGCGAAAGAGCCCAACCTCTCATCCGGAGTGCAGAGGTGGAAGCGTCGTCTCTCTAGACCCCAACCTACTACTGCCACTGCTACCATTACTACCATTACTACCACTACTACGCATATATATATATATATGTACGTTTCTAAGGAGGACAAAGGCCAAAGCGCAATCCGTCGGTGCTTGAGTCTTGAGGAGGTCTGGTCGCTGCTGGCCTGCAACCGAGGGGCATACCCCACACACTACCCCATGAGCCTTCTTACCGTACTCGCGCTCCACCTCCCGTCGTACATCTGGTGGTAACTCCGCCAACACCGACAAGTCGATCTGGAACGCCGTCGCCGCCGAGGCAGCACCCACCGCCGCGGCCATCGCTGGCTGTAGGCCCTGGTGTCCCCGTGGCATTGAGCTGCCGCCGCCGCCGCCGCCGCCGTCACAACCGCCAGCACCATTCCGGCCGACGGCGACGCCGGTGGCTCGGCCACCGCCGGAACCAGCCGCGCCCCGGCCCCGGCCGCCCCGGCCCCGGCCCCGGCCGGCCGCCCGGCCCCCCGAGCCCCCACCTACCGGCGGCTTCAGGAAGCCAGCGGGCCACCGGGCGGCTGCACTGCCCGAGACGCCAGAGGTGCTACCTGCCGGACCGCCGGCTGTGGTAGTTTCGGAGGCGGCGGGGCATTCTGCCACCGCCGCTACCGCCGTCGCCGCTGCCGTTGCCGTCGTCGCCCTGGCGGCG